TTGCAGTAACGACAGAACGTTTTTTGCATCTGTGCTGCTGTGAACTGGAAATGCCTTACTTTTACACTCTTGAGAAAAATGGCCTATTTACCCCCAGGAATAACAACTAATTTGTTTGGAGTTTTTCGTGGAAGTCATTACTCTGACTGTTTGGATGTGTTGACATTTTATCGAATGATGGAACTTTTATATAATTAGCAAGGAATCCAATCAAATCACTTACAGATGACGCGACCACAATTATAAGCAGCAGTTCTTACAACGGCATCATCTATCGAATGTGCGATAATCTCTATCAAATCCAAATCACCCAACCAGCTCGGGTGCGTTTCAACTTTTCGAGTTTGACTCTAGCATATTCGACGCTAACTACAGGCCTCTGAGCTATGATAGCCTACTGCCTCACTGAGAAGCTTACCTAGATTTTTCTGTTTAGGAAATGATACGGAAAAATTAATCTTGAAATTTTCCCATGTTTCTTCAGTAGGCTGCCATACAGAAAAACCACCCTTGTGCAGATTTAATAGAAAAGGTCCAATTCTACTTACAGTTTCCCGGTCAGACCAACCAAATTCATTTTTATATCCCTCTATTTTTTGTAACCATACGTGGCTATCGTGCTGTCCGGATCAAAACTGGGCAAGGCCAACGAAATAGGAGTTTTTTGGATTAACAGCAGCTGAAGATTGCGTTCCATTGTCATCCACCTTCCTCTGTAGATTTTCCAAAATCGATGCAATTGCTCCTAGAGACTTTGCCAACTCTTCTGCCATAATGTCTTTCACAACCCACAAAACTTCACAGAACACCAAACGTTTACGAAAAGTACACGTGTACCCCACACCTGATGTTAGATTTTTATAATTTACGACCACTTACGGTCAATGTCAGGCAGTGTCTGCCCAGCGCGGCAAGTACGTATCTCCCGTGCCGTTCTTGGGCGCACATGCGTGAGCGACCAAACGGTGTTATAGGGAGAGCCAGTAGTTTAGATATTTGAAATAGAATCTAACAATATGATACAAATGTGTCATCCCTTGTTCCACCCCTGGTGCCATTTTATTTAGCAAAAACAGAGTCTGATACCGCGTTGGCTATGGTGGTTACCAACGTACTCTATTGTCTGAGCATACCATAACTACGAGTTATTATATTTTGTGTAAGCCGGTTAACTTTCCTCTACTACTAGACCCTGAATCGTAGTGCATTGGGCCAACGGCAGATAAATTTGTGTTAATAACGGAGCTAAGTTTCTCCTATCCTCTTCGTTCAGGGGGAACCACATTATTATCTTCAGGATCCTACTCCACTGTCTTTGCCTGGAAGGAATGTATTGAGCTATCGGTGTCGCTGTACAACAATTTATGTAGATGCTGGAGCAAAGGTCCCCCTGTCATCTTCATTCAGGATGCGTAGTGTGCTTTGTGCGACCCTGTCCGCAGTCCTAACCCACGGTTCTCCTGAACAGTAATAATCTGGCTATCGGGTGTCTCGCCAAGATAATGAGGGAAGTTCGCCGGAAACGGCCATCATCAAAATAGCTTAATTTATCGTTCCGTGTATGCCGAATGTACACCGGATGTTTATTTAGATATTATCTGATGTTGCTTTAGAACTTGGATACGGCTCTATAGGTGCTTCAATGGGGTGCAGTCAATCCCAGTATGGCCCTTTGTATGCAACACCCTGATTTAACTCTGTATACTCACAATTAATACATATACGAGTAGTATAGGAGGCGAGATGATATAGTTAGCCACGCATAATTGACATAGCTCTTTTATTATCGTTAAACCAGCGTTCACGTTAGCCGTTTATACAATATAACAAATCTATACTACCTATTTTTTACTAGGCATACCAGTACCAGGGGGGGGGGGGGCTGGTGGTCGAAGAAGGTACCGTCTACTGAAGTTAATAGGGCGAAGAATTTTCTGCATAAGGTTGGGCGAATACGGAAGCCGACAAGCACAGACATCTAGAACTGAATATATACATAAGATTTTCCGGATATCCCCTCGGAAATTTGGCACGTTGCATGTCTCTCAATGGAGGCTAGCAAATCTGCGCCATAATATCAAAACTACCTTATATGTACAGAGTAATATGTCTTGTTCGACGTGATGAGAAAGATTATTTCTCAAATTATTCTGAGCAACGATTTCAATACGACAACTATTCGAAGAACTCTAAGCTGCAGCAATTGACAACGTGCATATGTAGGTTTCATATAAGATGTATGAACGCTTTCTTGATCATCCAAATGTGCCTTGTGAGTTTCGTGTTGACCGAGCAACTTGTCATTTGGTTTTTTCTTCATTTTTATATATATATATATATATAAAAACTATAGTCAATAAGGCAGAAGAACATGTTTCGATTATAGGTGAGTATAGGTTATGTTTATGTTTTATTTTCGATTCCCAGTGGAGTGATTGCTATTCCGTACCAATAAAATAGATGTATCCATGCTCTTCGACTCAGATTTTTGCACAGAGTTACTTCATACATGGAACTTTATTATGTTTCCATTTATGGACAACATACCTTGCCCTTTTTTAGTTATAACCCAAGTTATGGCTATTAATTTTCTTCATCGTTCCTCAAATTAATCAAACTTCATATACTAAGTGACATATAAATCCGAACACCCAGTTTAAATGGTTTTATTTTAATAAAATTTTGTATAAGTACTTAATGAAGCATAATAAGTAAATGATAAACATTTCAAAATGATTGCACTGCTTTAAAGCCCTTTGACCTTTAATAATGTGTGGATGCACCCTGATGTGCTACGCATTCTCCAACGCGCCTAGGCATGCTTCTGATCAGGTGGCCAATGTCCTCCTGTGGTATCTCATTCCAGGCAACCACCAACTCTCTCGAAGTGCTTCTAGAGTCTGAGGAGGACGTTGCAAATTGAGCAATCTCCTACCCATCATATCCCACACGTGCTCAATTGGGGATAAGTCGGGAGATCTTGGTGACCATGGTAACAATGTGACAGCATTATGTTGAAAGAAGTCGATTGTGACTCTTGCAACATGTGGTCGGGCATTACCTTATTGGAAAGTTGGATCTGCCGGGTAAAGATGGGGTTCTAGAACTTCGTAGATATAACGCTGCGCGTTCATGTTACCTCTGATGAAGATTAAAGGTGACCTGAAACCATAAGCTATAGCACCCCAAACCATAACTCCAACAGTGTGATGAACATGTCTTTCAATAAAAAACTGTGGAATCCTCCTTTCACCACGTCGCCTTCTAACCCTGGCACGACCATCGTGCATGCCTAAACAAAATCGAGACTCGTCACTAAAGACAATACTGTTCCATTCCTGATCCCAGAGTGACCGTTGTCTGCACCACTCAAGGCGATTACGTCGTTGTTCTCGAGTTAAAGGGAGGACCCAGTGTGGCCGGTATGAAAACAAGCCAAAACTTCTCATTCGTGGGTAAACACTTCGCATGCCAATAGGTCTTCCGTGTTTTGCAAACTATTCATTTGCAATGGACCTGGTAGTGGAGAAACGGTCCCTTAAAGCCAATAATCTTAGGCGACGATCTTCACGGTCTCTTGTTCTACGGAGGCGTCCAGTGCCCCTTGCTCTTTGCGTACGGCCTTCTCGAAGCCATGCCTAACCACAGTGTCTATACTTCTTTGCACTCTAACTGCAATTGCGCGAAAAGAAAGTCCAGCTTCCCGAAGTCCCACTATACGGCCCCTATCAAACTCACTAAGTTGACGAAATCGTACAGGTCTCTGTACTCTAGACAGCGTAACCGATAGTAAAGGATGTCAAGAACCAAAACCCGCCAACGTTAATTCTTTACTGCGGCTGAAATATTCAATTATAGAGCGTTAGTGAATTAATAAAAAGCAGTATAAAAACCGGAATGTCCAACTGATAAGGCTGAAAATTTTTTCACTTGTTATTTACAGTAAGATAAATACATTCACCAACTTTTATTAAAATAAAACCATTTAAACTGGGTGTTCGGATTTATATGTCACTTAGTATATTTTCCATGAAACGCATACTTTTTGTGAAACATAACGTGCTACAATTCTTCACAACCTCTTCGTAGTTTGCTACCCATAAGCTGTACCTATTAATACTATGAATCATGTTTATTTTATCTTTGAGGAATCTCAGTGTCTTCAATTTTGGCCATTATATTAGTAATGCTTGTTAAGTTGACTTTTTCCTTTTCTACCGAGATGCTAACGATCCTATTCAAATGAGAGCTGCCACCGGTGACAGTCATTTTCTTCTACCACTAACCCATGAAATCGCGATTACTGACCGCAGAGGTGGCCGCAGTAGTAGACTATTCGGTCTCCTGATTAGTCCGTGCGCTGTGCGAGTTCGAATCCCGTCCCAGGACAAATTTTTCTCTTCGCTATGGATGTTGTGATTGTCCGTAGGTGGTAGACGGTCTCTGACTGTCGAAGGCGGAGGGTACCACCCGGCGGATCTCGTAGGCGGAGCCAGAATGTGTGCGTGTTGCATGCACACATGTTCCCTCGCCAGAGTCCGTTTGGCGTTCCCCCTTTCCACTTATAGCCGCACGGTAGGTACCCAATGGGTGTTAAGGCCTTAGGCCTTCGTGGTAGTTGGAGTGTAAAAAAGGCCTTATTGAGAGGTAGCATTTCTTTATATCAATCAATCCTGTTAATACGATTCTTGAACTGCCTAAGGTTAGTAGAACTGGGAAAAGCTTCCTCTTGTAGATTGTTCCACAATCTCGACACCCTCGGGACATAGGTGCGGTCGTATCGGCCAGATCTGGTTGTACGAAGTTCGATACGGTTAGGATGAGACGCCAAAGTCAGGCGGGTCTGTTAGAGAAGAGTCATCGATCAGTCGGACCGCTCTCCTCTGGACAGGATCGAGGTGTTTCTCCCTGAACGAAAAACAAGACGAGGATGCAAAGGTACATGATTCTGTTCTACTGTATCGCATTAAAGAAATTAACCTAACAATGTATCACTTGCTGTATCTGATGTACCAGTCAAGTGGGCCCTCTTGAAAAATTGCCGATCAGGCCTTTTTCATAAATTATACTTCATATATTCAAGAATATAACATTCGTGCTGTCTTGTCAGTCTCCGGCCTCTAAGACGGATCTTATGCTACGCCACTGGATCGCGTTTTGAATGTGTGACCTTGCAAATCATACATCCTCAGAGTCGGTCATTTTCAGGCTTTAGTTACATACGCACTGCTTCCTGACACCATCGATATGTTCACAAAGACTTAATTTGGATTTTATGAATGAACCAAGAGGTCTATATTGTTTTAGTAGTTTTACAAATATCATGACCAAGAATAATATCAATCTAGGAATTTCAGCATTTCGTATTTTGAAAGTCATTACGAAAAAGGAAGTGAACGAAGAAAGATGGGCGAATCAGATGCTAGAATGACCCTAGTAGAACTCTCAGGGACATAGAAATACGAGAAGACCAAAGGCTGACTTGGAGAAGAAGGAGTAATCTGGACATCCATTTGCAGAGGAACTATGTTTCTCAATTAAATGACTAGACTTTCTATTTGAAACACACCCTTATAGGATCTGATTACAAGAATGTGACATCCCCTTGGCGTACCAGATCAAGCGAATCTCACAACCTCCACGTATCACGTCTTCGCAGTGACATCTGACAGTGCCTCGTTTGCGGATCGCAGTATCTAACAAACAAGGTCGCTCCACAGCATATACAATACTTAGAAGCAGCGCAACTTCCTGAGGATTTAGTTGAATTTTCGGTGCATTTATATGATTATTAGAGCTCACGGTTCTCTCCCACACATACATACGCAATCAGCCTCCGTGCTA